CTCTGCTCTTCACTGGGCTTTACCCACTGAAGTCTTTTAATAATCAAAATGCCAGTGACCAGGAGAGGAACACGTTCAGAACTGACAGTGTTTAAAGCAGCTCAAGTGACAGTGCCCTTTTTCCTAGAACTTGACTACTCATTCTCCAGAACTACTGTCAAATTCCCCCTTTCTCAGGGCATTGCCTACAGCAATGCCACTCCAAAACAAGCAGCACCATGTTGAGAGCTCTTGTTGGATTTGTATGAATTTGTAAGAGTGCAAGATATTTGTAATTTTGGACTGAGGATGTATCAGAGTGCAGAGGGTCCCAGACCAAAGCTGTGTGTGTGAATGTGGGTAGAGTTGTGTTTGGGCAGAGGGCTTGTGAATTTCTTTGGAGCTGTAAGTAGTGAAGGTCTGACATGGTTGAGAGCATTGCTTGGTATACATTGACTATAGGCAAATAAATATTAGCAACATGAGCCTGAGCTCTTTAAGGCATGTTAGCACTTCAAGTTTGTGTCAGATGAAAGGAAGTTTCATTTATATGTATATTATTGACTGTATGTCTACTGGGGGTTGAAAGTATTTCATGGCCTAGGTTACTTTTGCCTCTTAGGCTCTCTTAACTCTTATAAAATCTTTAATAAATTTTGAGAAACAGAAATAATTTTTATATGAATATTTTTCCTATTAATATTTTTATACATTTCTTCTGTATCAGCTCTGTAGCAGAAGCATCAACTTCTTTGCAATCTAAAATTACTTGCAAAAGCTGTATAATTTTCTTTTTTTTTCAGGCCTGAGATATTAAGAATATTTTGTTTGTTTGAAACTATGAAGAATTTTCTGTTATATCACTTATGGCTGACTATGACAATAGTGAACATTCCTCTAGTATGCACATTCTGAATTTTTTTATTTCTGCAAAATACCAAGTGAGGATTTATTCACATACATATTCAATTACTTTTATAGCTAAGGAGTCACATTTCACACTGAAGGCACAAATTGCATGTCCAAACTTGAAACTGTATTTGACCTTGTTCTCTGTTGGATTCTTCTCTAGCTGATATTCCTGGCCCACAATACATCTGGTTTCCCCCTTTTTATTATAATATATAATGAATCACTGAAATAGTTTTAATAATAATTTTTCTTTTGTAGAACTGCCTTTTCTAATGATGTAAAGGCAAGCTCTAAGTTCACAGGACCACATGTAAAAGATACATTACATTATTTCCCTTTCACATTTGCAAAAGTACAGAAATGCCAAAGAATCCCATCTGGATCAAAGATTAAGTTACCTGTAAAGACCATAGAAGAAGCAATAAATCAGACACCCAAGTTTTTTAAGTGCCTTGACTAGTCCAGATTCCAATATTAATAGCCCTGTCAAACTATTTATAGGAAATGTATCCACAGGAACGGTAAGATGCAAAACATTTCTAAATATATCAGGTCAAATGACAATTATGCCATTAGTTAAGTTTACCAGGCAATATTTTGCCAAAGATGGTTTGCCAAAATATATTTTGACAGAAGGAAAAGGAAACATCCAAAGCATCTGCATACCAGAGTCTATAAAAGTCTCTTTGGAGTGCTGTGCCCCGTCTTGACAGAAAATTTCAAGGTAAGTGTTTGGCTCCTGTGAACTGCTGGGCAAAACGTATACCTTTTTAATCCATTTAGCTTCCTATAAGACTTGGATATCCACTTCTGTCATGGACTGACTCTATGAGCAGTAACTTTATTGCAACTTTGAAGGCAGCATGTTTTCCTTCAACTTATATATAAGATCTGGATATCTGTGCAACACAAAATGAGTTGGTTATGTTTTCAAGCAGCAGTGACTTCTGCCACCAAAATCAATAACAAAATTTAACAACTTTTAAGGAACAGGATGAAATCCAAGGGTTTAAGATTTGTGGAAGGGAGAACAGGCAATAGTAACATTTGTATTTGTCATAATACAAGATGAATTATCCAGAGCAAGTAATTTTTAGAAAGCCACTGTTTGCTATCAGAAAAATAATTACTTCAGACACTTTCAGTAGCATTAAATAAAAAAATAAAAAATCAGAGACTCTGTTATGGGAACAGCCAAATTTGCTAGAGTTCACAAAGTTGAAATAATACTGCTAAACTTGACCACATACTGTACACTTAACTGCCGTTCTACATGGTCTCTTAGCTGGATGTCTAAGGATTAATTTCAGAGAGCTATATAAGTATTTTCACCCAAGACTGGGAAGTTTAAATCCAACTTCTGACTTGTTTATACCTACTTTAATATCTGAAAAGACGGAAGTGCAAGAGATCTCCTTTCTTTCACATAAAGATGTTAATTCACTGACACAACATATCTTGTAGCCTGCAGAGGACCCTGCTGACTGTGGCTCCTGAAGAAGTGCAACAATGTCAACTCCAGACGCTGACATGGCCGCCTTTGGCGAGGCGGCTCCTTACCTCCGAAAGTCAGAGAAGGAGAGAATTGAGGCCCAGAACAAACCTTTTGATGCCAAGACATCTGTCTTTGTGGTACATCCAAAGGAGTCCTATGTGAAAGGGAAAATCGAGAGTAAGGATGCAGGGAAGGTCACTGTCAAGACTGAAGGTGGAGAGGTGAATAACTGTAAAATTTACAAATAAAATTTAATTCCCACTCTGGATTCTTAGCTGACATACATGCATCTCTCTATTCTGTGGCAGACCCTGACTGTGAAGGAAGATCAAATCTTCTCCATGAACCCTCCCAAGTATGACAAAATCGAGGACATGGCCATGATGACCCACCTCCACGAACCCGCCGTGCTGTACAACCTCAAAGAGCGTTACGCAGCCTGGATGATCTACGTAAGTGGCAGCAGCAGCTTCCTTTGGGCAGCCTCAGCAACTGCTGGGCCAGGCTCAGGGGAAGCCAACGTGCTGTGTCCCTTCCTCACAGACCTACTCGGGTCTCTTCTGCGTCACTGTCAACCCCTACAAGTGGCTGCCGGTGTACAACCCCGAGGTGGTGTTGGCCTACCGAGGCAAGAAGCGCCAGGAGGCCCCTCCACACATCTTCTCCATCTCTGACAACGCCTATCAGTTCATGCTGACTGGTGAGTTACTTGGTTTTCTTTAAATCACTTGGCTGTGAATATTCAGAAAAGAGAATAAAATTCTTTTTACTGCACAATAGTTCAGTTTAATGTTGCTGTAAAGGTGGATGTTCTGTCATCACTGTAAATAGATTTTTTACTGAACATCATCATTTAGATGAAGTTTATAGAAATCAGTGTTAAAATTTCATGTCCAGTGTATTTGGGATGATATGATTTAACACTGAATATATTGTCAGATTTTCCATTAAAGAAATTGGAATATACTTTAAAGTTCTGCTTTTTCTCAGATGAAAGGATTGTTCTTTGAATGATTTTCTATGCAGAACTGAAAATCACTAGGATGAATTTCTGTAAATAACAGTGTAAAAGGAAAGTACATTCAATGTTGGAGCCAGTGCTTCCTATTGTAGGTTTTCAAAAACTCTGGAAGCAGTCTCAGTCAGAAATTGCAGTGAAATCTGATGGGAAAATTGATAACTTCCTTCCTCCATCTCAGAAAAAATTTCTACTTTTCCATTCATTAATATAAAGGAAAGAAATACCAAAGAAGGGTTGTGACAACTTTTCTAGCATTGTCTAAATATTCAGAATTTTAGTAAAGAGCAGATTGGTCAGAAATATAGATAACAGTATAATAACATGTATTTTAACTTATTAAAAGAAATCTTCTTCCCTCTTTTGTCCCCAATTACTGTATTTAATTCTGTAGCACTCAGAGCATTAAAAATGTTAATTGTAAGAGAATACAATGAAAACAAACAATATTAAATTAATGTTTGATTAGTGTGTCTTATCAGGGTCATATTCATGTAAGTTGTTATATATTTACCCTTGCTGACACCTTCATAAGACATGCAGAAACTCTTTGAGCACAAACCTAGACTCCTCCACTAAGAGTTAGTTCCCAGATGCTTTATAATCTTCAGACTTCATAGAGATTTTTCAGTTTTTATAGTGCAAGGATTTTGTCAATGGAGTCTCAATGGGAGCATAGGTTAAAAAAGCAATCAGGCAAAATTGTGGAAAGCAAACTCAGCTCAAGCTATAGCACAGAAAAATTTCAAATCTAGTTTTGGAAGTACCAATATTTGAATATTCTAGAGCATAGCAGACTACTATGGTAAAGGTCACTACATATTTATGATGTTATTCTAATTTTCTTTAGGAAATAATCAATTGACCAAAACCATAAAAACTATTTAGGACGCTTACTGACTAAGCAAGAGTGGTTGTTCTGATGTAATAAAGTTTATGAGAAGCACATGCTCCAGTTCAATTCAACTTACTGATAGGCCATTTAATCAGCTTAATAATAATTTAATCAGTTTAATAACTCTACAAAATCGATACTTAGTTGGAATAATTTTCATAAATAAAATGAACAGTGTGACCTGAATGGAATATCCAGAAAAAGAAGTGCATGTTTCATCATCTCAGGGTCAAGACATCAGCTTCCCAGCTGAATCTAGGAACATTGAATATTTAAAAGGAAGTAGGAATGAAGGTAGGCAGTTTTATTAATGGAAATATATGCCTATTGCTAGCACACCTTCTAAAAGTCACAGGAACAATTTTATCAATTATATTCATGACACATAATAATAATAATAATAATCTCTTCTTTTCTGCCTCGTTCACAGATCGGGAGAACCAGTCCATCCTGATCACGTACGTACACCCCCTGCGCGGGTCCCTGCGGGGCTGCCCGGTGCCAGGGGACCTCCTGCCTGACCACGCAACCTCTGCTTCTCTCTTGGCTTGGGCAGCGGAGAATCCGGTGCTGGGAAGACTGTGAACACAAAGCGTGTCATCCAGTACTTTGCAACAATTGCAGCCAGTGGGGACAAGAAGAAGGAGGAGCAGACATCAGGCAAAATGCAGGTGAGTTAGTGGACAAATGGTGGGATCAATGCTTTCATCTGTTCCTGTCAGGATGTTTGGAAGGGATAACTAGCAATAATTATCTCCGAGCAGGGAACGCTTGAGGATCAAATCATCAGCGCCAACCCACTGCTGGAGGCCTTTGGAAACGCCAAGACCGTGAGGAACGACAACTCCTCACGCTTTGTGAGTTCTTGCCTTGCATAAAATCTCTCCCCCTGATGGCAACACACGATGCCTGAGCAGTTCTTCATGCAAAGGAGATGCCAGCAGAACACATCCAGCCTGATCTGCTGCTGCTTTTGCTTAACAGGGCAAATTCATCAGAATCCACTTTGGGGCCACAGGCAAACTGGCTTCTGCTGACATTGAAACTTGTAAGACATTCTCCTGGATTGCTCCCATCCCTTCCCCAATTCCCATCTCCATGTCCATTCCCACAAGTGCCTAACTCTTTCTACCTCCCTGGGCAGATCTGCTGGAGAAGTCCAGAGTCACTTTCCAGCTCAAGGCGGAAAGGAGCTACCACATCTTTTATCAGATCATGTCCAACAAGAAGCCAGAGCTAATTGGTAGGAAGCAGCATTATGGCTTTTTGGGGCTGATCACTGAGGAGCTGTTCCCTCTCTCATCTGATTGGCAAAAGTAAGCCTATGCCTTGCCTCTTCCTGCTTTCAGAAATGCTCCTCATTACCACCAACCCTTACGATTTCCACTATGTGAGTCAAGGGGAGGTCACTGTCCCCAGCATTGATGACCAGGAGGAGCTGATGGCTACAGATGTGAGTAACACAGCAACGGGGTATCTCCTGGGCATGTCTCAAGGGTGACATCTCTGATCTGCTAAGGACATATTTTGAATTCATTATTTTGACTGCAGAGTGCCATTGACATCCTGGGCTTCACTGCAGATGAGAAAACAGCCATCTACAAGCTGACAGGGGCTGTCATGCACTACGGGAACCTGAAGTTCAAGCAGAAACAACGAGAGGAGCAGGCAGAGCCTGATGGCACTGAAGGTACCAGCAGATTCAGGGGCTGGTTTGTGCCAAGCCCTTCTCTGCCTCCAGAAGCCATATGTTAGCCTCCAGAGGCACACTGCAGTTGCCTGCGTTTCCACTTAAAACATTGAGAATCCAAATTTGCCCACAATCCCCCTAACTGCAGAGGTGCTTTCCTAGTCATAGGAAGTTCCATTATTCTATCCAATGGTGCCTCCCCAAAAACATGCTGCCTGAAGGCAGGAACTTCAATTTCAACACAGGATATCTCTCTTGAAATATGTCTCTTGAAAACCTCCAAGCACTAGGACACCCTGATGGGCAATTGTGATTTTGGTGAAATAACGCCTGCAAGCTGTGCTTCCCAGAAATCTGCTTCCCACAGAAAGAGAATGTGCCTTGCCTTATGTCTTGCTAGAGGCTGTTGTTGTTCTTCTGGGAAATTCCAGGTTTAAGCTCTTCCTATCTAAGCCATACTTGTTCTTTCTTTCAAAGAAGACCATCAGTAGTGGCCAGAATTTGCATTCCTTCACAGGCCTTCTGTGTGAGATGAGAGAAATGTTCTTCCATTCCTAGAACATGAAGAGCAGAGTTGTTCACATCACCTGGATTCTAGAGATTGTCCATAAATGAATGCTTTTCTCTCTCTTTCCACACCTCTAGTGGCTGACAAGGCTGCCTACCTAACGGGCCTAAACTCAGCTGAATTTCTCAAGGCCTTGTGTTACCCCCGAGTCAAGGTTGGGAATGAATATGTGACCAAAGGTCAAAACGTGACACAGGTAACAACTGACACTTGTAAATACGCAGCTGGAAGGACTACATGGGCATTTCTCTTTGTCCCTCAGAGGTAACTGCAGTCCTGTCTCCTCCGCTCTAGGTGAACAATTCAGTGGGTGCCCTGGCAAAGGCAATGTTTGAGAAGATGTTCCTGTGGATGGTTGTTCGCATCAACCAACAGCTGGACACAAAGCAGCCCAGGCAGTACTTCATTGGTGTCCTGGACATTGCTGGCTTTGAGATCTTTGATGTAAGGAGCAAGGATTTGACAGCACAATTAAATGATGGGCAAGGAGGGGTCATGAGGACTCAGACGCACGTAGAGGACTAAGGCTCACACAGTTATGGGCCAAAAGGGTGGATGCTCTTGTAAAGGTAGTGGTATGGGCAAGTTCACACAGCGTTTCCTGTGCTGTGAATGCAGTGATGATGCAAGGACTTGTGTGTCAGAACACAGAAACGTTCAGATTCTTGATCTGAGGCCTGAGAAATTCTTGGGTGGGACACTGAGGAAGTTTCTACTGTCCAGGAGATCAGAGAGCTGACACCATGGAGCTCTTGGGCTTACCAAAGATTTGCAGTTGAGTAGCACAGTGAAAAAGAATTGTAACTTTTGGCTTGACTTGTAAAGTAATAATTAAAATGTCCTTCAAGGAGAGTGAAGGTTAGAGTAGAAGGCCTGCTAAGGAAACACATGCTGGTACAGTAGGGTTGGGACAGGTGTCTCAACTTCAAACAGCCTTTGGGGAGTGGCAGGAAATGCCTGTGGGTTTTGGCACGCCTTGAGAACCTGTGCACCTTTCCTTGCTTTGGGCAGTTCAACAGCTTTGAGCAGTTGTGCATCAACTTCACCAATGAGAAACTGCAACAGTTCTTCAACCACCACATGTTCGTGCTGGAGCAGGAGGAGTACAAGAAGGAGGGGATTGAATGGGAGTTCATTGACTTTGGCATGGACCTGGCTGCCTGCATTGAGCTCATTGAGAAGGTACCTTTCCCATGCAAGTATAAAATGGCTGTTGGGATTCTGTGAATATTCTGAGGCACAGTCAGCTCAGAAAGAATCCACAGCCAGACATGTAGCATCAGTTAAGGAAAATATTTTGCACTGAGTTTTATTTTAGCCTGGGGAGGAGAAATGGGGAAATGTACATGTGTGTGATCAGTCTGAATCATCGGGTCTTCAAACATGGCAAAGTAGCCTGGACTTCCACCAACAGACTTCTAAAACCAAACCTGATTCAGTCTCCTTTTCTTCCTTCTCCAAAGGCTCAAATCCAAAGTCTACAGAAAAATCTGAGAAATAAATCTCCTATCACCTGATCTCCACAAATTATGGAGCCCCTTGTTCTCCCCATTATTTTTCTCTTTACCATTGCTCTCCCAGTTCTTCACTAATTCTCATGTGAACTGGACAGTCCTTCCTACCAGTTCCATGAAGACAGGCTGCAGGGAGGCAAGGGACAGCAGAAATAAACCCCTTGATTGAGAACAACTCCTGGCGAACCTAGGCTTTCATCCAGGCTGAGGTGCTGCCAACAGCACAACCAACCTTTGATGTTCATAGCACAGGCTTCTTGTCAGTGTCATAGAATGACAGAAGGGTTTGGGTGGGATGGGACCATAAAGAACATTTTGTTCCAATCCCTGACCATGGTGGGAGGACTTCTTCCTCTAGACCAGGCAGGTGAACGCCCCATCCATAGTAATATTGAACATTTCCATTCAAATCTTTCCTTGTTACTTGTGATTTCTCTCAGCCCATGGGCATCTTCTCCATCCTGGAAGAGGAGTGCATGTTCCCCAAGGCAACTGACACCTCTTTCAAGAACAAGCTCTATGACCAGCACCTGGGCAAGTCCAACAACTTCCAGAAGCCCAAGCCTGGCAAAGGCAAGGCTGAGGCCCACTTCTCCCTGGTGCACTACGCTGGCACAGTGGACTACAACATCTCTGGCTGGCTGGAGAAGAACAAGGACCCTCTGAATGAAACTGTCATTGGGCTGTACCAGAAATCATCTGTGAAGACCCTGGCTTTACTTTTTGCTTCTTATGGTGGAGCTGATGCCGGTCAGTTTTATGAAAACTGTATTTTTAATGTAGGACAAACTTTTCTCAGAATGAAAGCAGCAAAGGCTAGAAATAAAACGTGGCTTTGCATTCTGTAGTAACCAATACATATTGTCCGTATTATTAAACGTTTTTTTTTCTTTTATTTTATTTTCAGATGCTGGTGGTGGTGGCAAGAAGGGAGGCAAGAAGAAGGGTTCTTCTTTCCAGACTGTCTCAGCTCTTTTCAGGGTAATTAGAGTATTCGTTATCTCTTTGAAGATGGAAAGCATTTTCATTCTGAATCGTATAGGTCTGTTTCCATTTTGGATATAACTCTTGCTATCCTTTAAAATCCTTCCCTTTCCATCCTTGGAACTTACAGAATATTCCTTTTCTAATGCCATGCTCTTTTTTAAATATTCCACAAAAATATCTGAAGGGCTAAGTTCACCTACTTAGATGGGAGTGACTAACTTAATAGCTAACTTCCTTAAAATCCTCTCTGCTGCATTCAGGTATATTTCCTAGATTTTTTTATGTCTCTAGACAGATTTTCAGTACTGACTGACAGTAACATTTTAAAAAAAATAATAGATAAAACATAAAAATCAAAAGAAATTACCTCTAGATCACAGCATTTTAAGACAGTGACTTGATTTCTATGTGGAAAAAGAGGGAAGGTTAAATTTTCAGTTTTCCATTTCTCAAAGTTTGAGACTGAATTACTATTAAAAGGGTAATTTTATACGGACTATAAACGTATCCCCTCCATTTAGAAACAACTTACTTAGCTGACAAATCAGATGCTAGTCAAGCTTGATCAAGAGTATGTCATTTATATAAGATTCCCAACAGTATACCACAAGAATTACCGATTTAAAGGAACACTGTGAGATGATACCCCTGTATTCAAATGAGGAGGTCAAGGAAATGTAACACTAACCATTATTCTATAAAAGAATTTCAAAACCAAATTTTGGGAGCCTTCAGCTTCCAATTTTCCTTTTGGGAGTTCTGCAAGTTGTTTTAGAGAAGAATGATATGCGTCTTGAAACACCAATTTGATACTTCCACTGTTAAGATTCCTATGCTTACACTTAAAAATGAAAACTTCATTTCATGATCTCACAGGAGAATTTGAACAAGCTGATGGCCAACTTGAGAAGCACTCACCCCCATTTTGTACGGTGCATCATCCCAAATGAAACTAAAACACCTGGTAAGGCAAGCCAAGAGGAGGAAAGCTGGAGCAGCAGAAGCTCTTCTCCTGAGTGTCAAACAGCAGGGTAGTCACTAACGGTGATCTTTGTCAGGTGCCATGGAGCACGAGCTGGTGCTGCACCAGCTGCGCTGTAACGGCGTGCTGGAAGGGATCAGGATTTGCAGGAAAGGGTTCCCCAGCAGAGTCCTCTATGCTGACTTCAAACAGAGGTGAGAGCTCTGCATCTCTCTGACCATTCAGACCAAGCTGAAGAGCCTGATCATTATAATATACTTTGAACTTTTTATTTTAAATTAGTACTGATTAATATAGATGTTTCACCGTCAGTTTATGATGATGTGGCAGAGCTGAGATCAGGATTGTTTTGTACTTAGAATTACTATTAAAAACATTTCCCATATTCTGTCCTGAGAGGATGAACCGTCTCCAGGCATGAGACTGGTTCAATGATACAGACTGAAAAGTTCTGGTAGTGGTTTCAACAATTGTGATTTCTTCATGTTTTGTTTCCTTTTGCAGATACAGAGTACTTAATGCCAGTGCTATCCCAGAGGGACAGTTCATGGACAACAAGAAGGCTTCAGAGAAGCTCCTTGGGTCCATTGATGTAGACCATACCCAGTACAAATTTGGTCACACCAAGGTAAAAGCAAGACCTGTGTTAAAAGTTTGTCAAAAGCAGTAAGAGTGGGCTCTGTCAGGGGCTCAGGCACAGCACAATAACATAACAGAGCTGCCAGACTAGGGGCTGCTATCAGTGGCACTCAGTCAAGGCAAGTGAGGATGGTAGCCAGATTCAACCAGGACTCCACACCATCAGTCAGTAAAGTTTGTTACAATAAGGATGGTTGAAGCCATAAAACCTTGGTTTTCAAGATTTGTCAGGGTCAGATATAGGTAGGCTAAAAAGGCAAGGCCCTAGTCATTAATTCATGGACATACCCATAGCAGTGAGACTGGTTTAACATCAGCCCAGGAATTAAGTTAATAGGTCATGGTAGAGCTCACTGGTGTCCATAACCAGGCACAGGAGTGGTTGAGGCTGTGGCTGAACTGGAAACCAGTATTTATGACACATAGTTCAGACGAAGACTGAATGCTTAGGGCTGAGATTATGGGAAGTTCTAAGCCCTTAGACAGAGGATTTGGGAGAGGGCCCAAGGTTATACTGATCATGGCCATTACAGACTTTCAGCAATCTGAATGACTTTGTGCTTCTGTTCTGTCCTACATCACAATGACATGGTGCAACATTACCTTTCTCAAGGTGTTCTTCAAAGCTGGCTTGCTGGGACTCCTGGAAGAGATGAGAGATGACAAGTTGGCAGAAATCATCACTCGCACACAAGCCAGATGCAGGGGCTTCCTGATGAGAGTGGAGTATAAGAAAATGGTGGAGAGGAGGTAGATATTTCTCATATTTAGTTGATATTCATGGTACTTTACTGATGAAGGTTAAATGAATCACACCAAAGCCATGTAATAACTGCTTGAAATTAATTTCAGGGAGTCCATCTTCTGCATCCAGTACAACGTTCGTTCATTCATGAATGTCAAACACTGGCCATGGATGAAGCTGTTCTTCAAGATCAAGCCCTTGCTGAAGAGTGCAGAGTCTGAGAAGGAAATGGCCAACATGAAGGAAGAGTTTGAGAAAACCAAGGAAGAACTTGCAAAGTCTGAGGCAAAGCGGAAGGAGTTGGAGGAGAAAATGGTGGCCTTGGTGCAGGAGAAAAATGACCTGCAGCTTCAAGTGCAGGCAGTGAGTATCACTGTTCATTTTTCCCTGGAAAAAGAATGATATACTGTCAGAATGTGTCTTGTCCTGCACAGAGTCTCACAGGAATTAACAAGTGGTAGAAAACAGTCTAAATCACACACTGTGAGGCACTCTAATGTTGAGTCAACAGGCAATGGCAGGGGCATAGTGAGATTCCTGGCAGACCCACGTGGCACTCACCATTGCAGTTGTCTGAGGAAAGAGCCATGTAGCACCAGCCAATGTGTATTGAACAGCTGAGAACTTGAAGCTGGAAGGGAAATATCTCAACTCTCAGAGCAGTGCTGTTGTCTAACACAGTAAAGGCAAACCTGAGAAAGACTTTTCCTACTTACAGCTACACAAGAAAGCCTTGATTATTTTCAGAAACATGGATACTTCCCATTTAAATTCAAATAGGACAAGGGAGTTTATTAATAGCCAAATAAATGATCAGCTACTTACCACAAAAGATCTTAGACATGGCCTGGAAAGAAGCCACAGAGGTAGCTGATAGGCCAGAAGTCTATTGGCCATGCAGCCTGTAGAAAAGTGATACATTTCTTTCGCAAAAAAAGTATTCTCAGAAATTTTAAAGCCTCTAAATAACAAATATTTTAAGGCTTTGTTGAGACAACTAAGAATAAAAAGTGAGTAGATACAATTTCTGTGAGAATAAAAACATATTCCAAGCCCTTGCTCATGATGAAAATAGAAATTGAATTAGAATATTTTATTCTGCATTAGTGATTCTTCTATGAGGCATTCTCATAGAAAAGTGCCCTGGGAGACAAATTTAGGAGACACAAAAACTTTGGAATAAATATTAATTCCAAATTAATAGGTTTACTAGTAGACACCACTCAAGATACTTCTGTTGCTGGACTTTAAGGTCAGGTTCAGCTGCTACTTAAAAACCCACCTACTCTGAGTTAAAAAGGCAGAACACAGAAAGTTCAGAATATTAGACCCCATTAAATTCTGTCTCCCCATCAGGAAGCAGACAGCTTGGCTGATGCTGAGGAACGGTGTGACCAGCTCATCAAAACCAAAATACAGCTGGAAGCCAAAATTAAGGAGGTGACTGAAAGGGCAGAGGATGAAGAGGAAATAAATGCTGAGCTGACAGCCAAGAAGAGGAAACTGGAGGATGAATGTTCAGAGCTGAAGAAAGATATTGATGACCTTGAGCTAACACTGGCCAAGGTGGAGAAGGAAAAACACGCCACAGAAAACAAGGTATGAGGTAGAACCTGTTACTTGCACTCCAGAAAATGGGTTGAGAACTTCTTTATTACAGAACTTCTGTATCTATTTCCTTTATTTACATTTGTTCCCTTCTTCCTAAAGGTGAAAAACCTGACTGAGGAGATGGCAGCACTGGATGAGACCATCGCCAAGCTGACCAAAGAGAAGAAAGCCCTCCAAGAGGCCCATCAGCAGACCCTGGATGACCTGCAGGTAGAGGAGGACAAAGTCAATACTCTGACCAAAGCCAAGACCAAGCTGGAACAGCAAGTGGATGATGTAAGCACACAGACACAGAGCAGGAACAGGACAGGTATGGAGCCTGAGCTGGCTGGTAGAGCACTGAAGGTCTTGTTGTGTTCAGCTGGAAGGGTCCCTGGAGCAAGAGAAGAAACTGCGCATGGACCTGGAGAGAGCAAAGAGGAAACTGGAAGGAGACCTGAAGCTGGCCCAGGACAGCATCATGGATTTGGAGAATGATAAGCAGCAGCTGGATGAGAAACTGAAGAAGTAAGTGTGGCTCTGGGGCTCCTGAGTGCTGGGCTGGACCACTTGTCTTCTTCCTTTGAGCTCTAACACGGTTCACTTGGCCCAAAGGAAAGACTTTGAAATCAGCCAGATCCAGAGCAAGATTGAGGATGAACAAGCCTTGGGCATGCAATTTCAGAAGAAAATCAAGGAGCTGCAGGCAAGTCTCTGTTCCTTCCCCTCCCTTGCTCAGGCTCAGCTCAGGCAGGAGGAGGGCACGGGTGTGAAGGGTCCCTCCTGTTCTGCAGGCCCGCATTGAGGAGCTGGAGGAGGAAATTGAGGCAGAGCGAACCTCTCGCGCTAAAGCAGAGAAGCATCGGGCTGACCTGTCCAGGGAGCTGGAGGAGATCAGCGAGCGCCTGGAGGAAGCAGGAGGGGCCACAGCAGCTCAGGTGGAGATGAACAAGAAGCGTGAGGCAGAGTTCCAGAAGATGCGGCGGGACCTGGAAGAGGCCACGCTGCAGCACGAAGCCACGGCTGCCGCCCTGCGCAAGAAGCACGCGGACAGCACCGCTGAGCTGGGGGAGCAGATCGACAACCTGCAACGTGTGAAGCAGAAGCTGGAGAAGGAGAAGAGTGAGCTGAAGATGGAGATTGATGACTTGGCCAGCAACATGGAGTCTGTCTCCAAAGCCAAGGTACACAAATATTTTATTGGCTCCTTGACCCAATGGAATACAACGCAGTTCTTGTACCTGGCCTTCTTTAGAGTGTGGATGGTTAACTCATCACTTTCCCTATGCTGAAACACAGGCCAACCTGGAGAAGATGTGCCGCACACTGGAAGATCAACTCAGTGAGCTTAAGACCAAGGAAGAAGAGCATCTGCGCATGATCAATGACCTCAATGCCCAAAGAGCTCGTCTGCAGACAGAGTCAGGTGAGACAGCAACATCTGCATGTACAGATTAATAATGTCTCAGAGTTACTGCAAAAATTACTCTTCTGGGCACATGGTCTGTTCAACACACTTTGGGTCACATCTACTGAGAAATGCTTGAAATGGGATTATGAGTTTCAGCATGGACTGTGAATCATCCGGTTTTACATCTCCAAATGTTTGCAGTGTCACCATCAATGGCATCAAAACCATTTTGTATCTGCATATTTTCTCAGGTGAATATTCACGCCAGGTGGAAGAGAAGGATGCTTTGGTTTCTCAGCTGTCAAGAGGCAAACAGGCTTTCACCCAGCAGATTGAGGAACTCAAGAGGCATCTGGAGGAAGAGATAAAGGTGGGAAGGCTTTTTCCTAAATATATGAAATCAGTTAATCAACAAGATGAAAGGGACAAAAATAACTTAGACAATGGAGTGCAAGTTTTCCCATAGTGGTATTGGCTATCTTTCCCTGTTGTCTATCCATTAATTCTTTTGCAAATTCCCAGATCTTTCTCATCCCAGGTCTTTCTAAGATCTCATCAAGGAGATTTCCCAGGATATTTCCGTTCATTTTTACACTGTTTTTTTTTTCCCCAAGGCCAAGAACGCCCTGGCCCACGCCCTGCAGTCCGCTCGCCACGACTGTGACTTGCTCCGGGAACAATATGAGGAGGAGCAGGAGGCCAAGGGGGAGCTGCAGAGAGCCATGTCCAAGGCCAACAGCGAGGTGGCTCAGTGGAGAACCAAATACGAGACAGACGCCATTCAGCGCACGGAGGAGCTCGAGGAGGCCAAGTATGTGGGGAAGCAGGATGAAAAATGATGGGAAAAGATGGAAACTGGTCAAGGGAAATTGGAATCTCTGAGAGTGGGTTCAGACAAGAGTGAGACGAAGGCAACAATATACTGTCTTTGTTAACAAAAAGGAGCAAGGTAGGGAGAAAAAAAATGTATATTGAACGGGAAAACAGGCTTTAGAAATGCTAAGACAAGAGTAATCCTCCATAGGTGACCGGACACAGCAAAAGATATATCATTTTTGTATCTGTGAAAAGTGCTTGGCTCACATCCTCAATGTGACAAACTGCCCTCTTATGAGGTTGTAGAACTGACTCCTTTCCAAGCTCTAACGTGGCACTGTGCTTCTCTCCTCCCAGGAAGAAGCTGGCCCAGCGTCTGCAGGATGCAGAGGAACATGTTGAGGCTGTCAATGCCAAATGTGCCTCCCTGGAAAAGACAAAGCAGAGGCTGCAGAATGAAGTGGAGGACCTGATGATTGATGTGGAGAGATCCAATGCTGCCTGTGCTGCTCTGGATAAGAAGCAGAAGAACTTTGACAAGGTCTTTTGGCCTCCAGCACCAGCACTCCTGGCCAGAGCATGCCCCTGTGATGGCCACAGCCCGACTCACACCCCGTTTCTCTTCAGATCCTGGCAGAATGGAAGCAGAAGTATGAGGAAACACAGGCTGAGCTGGAGGCCTCGCAGAAGGAGTCGCGCTCTCTGAGCACGGAGCTGTTCAAGATGAAGAATGCCTATGAGGAGTCCTTGGACCACCTGGAAACAATGAAGCGGGAGAACAAGAACTTGCAGCGTAAGTCCCTGGCCC